AAATAACAGAATATCTAACAATATAAAAAGCAGCTTTTGCATTAGTCTAAGTCTCAGACTGCATTAGTCTCGTTGTCAGGTTTATTTCAGTGCATGGGCTTATTCGACTGATATGTACAAGGTTCGTGTATACATTTATTTATATACACTTTTCTTATACATGCATTTAATTTGGGTGCATGCCAGGGGTGAAATTCAGCAGGTTCTGACAGGTTCTGGAGAAATGGTAACAGAAATTTTGAGTAGTTCGGAGAACCGGCAAATACCACCTCTTGCTGGCCCCAGAGTGGGGTGGGAATGGAGATTTGCAATATCCTTTCCCCAGGACTGGGGAGGGAATGGGGATTTTGCAGTATCCTTCTTCCAGGAGTGGGGTGGGAATGGAGATTTTGCAGTATCCTTCCCCCAGGAATGGGGTTGGAATGGAGATTTTGCAGTATCCTTCCCCTGCCACAGCCACCAAGCCACGCCCACCAAGCCACACCACACCCACCAAGCCACGCCCACAGAACCGGTAGTTAAAAAATTTGAATTCCACCACTGGTGCATACATTTCAAAATTATTTTTCACTTGAATGACCATGAAGGCAATGAACTATTGCCCCAAACCTGGGGCAACTTAAGATATTTTTAAATTTCTCTCTATACACAAAACTGTCCGTGTTAAAAAAAAAAATAGATCAAGTAGTTGCATTTGTACAGAGACAAGAAATGATTAACTGCGTAGACCAGGGATCCCCAAACCTCAGGTCGTGGATCAGTACTGGTCCAAAGCCTGCCAGGAACCAATCCATGCAAGTGAGCGAAGCCCATCCATGCACACAATGGGATCCAGGCACCACATGAAACCATGCTCCACTGGTCCACAGAAAGAACGCCCTCGGTGGAACCAGTCCCTGGTGGCCAGAAGGTTGGAAGCCACTGGTGTAGACGACTGGAACTTCTGACGTAACTGAGGCCTCACATTTTAACCTGGAACGCCTTAGTTTTAAACTAGAACCTCTGAGTAAGTCAAGCCAAATTCACACATCTATGGATCCCTCCTGTCATCCTTTGCTGAAGCTGGCAGGGTGCTAACCTGCCCTAATCTTTGCTACTTCCTTTGCTATCTCATGTCACACATTGAAGTGGGCTCTGCACTGCTGTACACCTATAGCACACATCAGAGGAAAGGGCACTGCTGGTTTCGGAGCCAACCTCGTCAGGATCATCTCCAATTGGCACACCGATTTTCGTGCAATTATTTTAGACGTGCTATTCAATGACACCTACGGTCAGGTGGACAGCGCTCCAACTGAATCAATGCAGTGTGTGAAGACAGACACTGATGCAGTGAGAAAAGCAGGTGGCCCATCTCTCCTTGGACCCTGTGTATTTGTTGATGCATCTGGAGTAAGGTTGGTTATGTGTGGAGCTCCATATCTGTGTCTATGCAGTAATTGGACTCTCTGCCTAATCACCTAACAAACCTTTTCAGATTAGGTGAGAAATGAAACCGCCCTGAAGGACATATGTGGGGTCCTCCCATCACTTGTGCATGGTGCTGCTGAAGATTTATGGCATCTACCATGAATTCCACCCACTTGCTATGTGTATGTAGGCTGGCTAACCATTTGCTCAGACTGAAGAAGCTACTTTGGCTAAGCAGCGAAACATTTCAGACTAACAAGAAAAGAAGTCCAGTTGCCATAACACAACTTCCAGAAAACTCTACCTGGATGGCTGAGAATCTTTATTGACACAGTAATTAGAAAGTTTGTGTAAACTGGCTAATCACAACCCTCGTGTAGCATTGGATAATTAGGGGGTCCTGGCATAAGAGGTTGGTATACATACCAAGAGCTTGGTATGATTGTCTCGCTGTGTGTTCAAAGCACAGCAAGATAATTGCTCATCCAAAATACCATTTTTTTTAAAAAAAAGGGAGGGGGAGACTAATACTGTGGTTTGATCTGGCAAAACAAGAATGAGCAGCAGGAACAGTGTTCAGTGTACTGAAGAGAAGGAGACAATCCAGAGCTACAGCACAGCTGCAAGGGAGCATTAGATCCCTACCCAGAACAGATTAAAGCAAGATACCTCTCCTTCGGGCATTAGTGTGCCCCACATTGACTACATGGAGGGATCTGAACCATAAGACAGAAAACACCGTTTCAGTAGCCGAACATCTGGCTGATCTCACAATACAGGTCACAGCACACAGAGCAGGACTACCAGTGTAAGGAATCTGTGCAGATGTGCCCTCTGGAAGCAACAAACTCCTAATTTTCAAAACCTGTCCAATTCATCAGGGCTGTAGTTAACTCTTGCAAACATAAATGCCATAAAAGCAAGCACTTTACACCTGGAAGAAGGCCTTGGTGATATTGTTTGCTGCTTGGGAACTGTCAATCACAAAAACTCTTCTTCCGTTTCCTTTTTTCTTTCTTTCTTTTTTTTTTTTTTTTGACAGTGTGTGCTTGGAGGAAAATCTCTGCATTTCTCTATGTATCCCGATTGCTTCTCAAATTTTAGTAGGAACTTGATCATGTTTGGCTAAATTGGGCAGCCCAGAATATCTCCAAAGTGGTTTAATGCACATTACTAACTTTTGCATATCTGCAACGAGCCCCGCCCCCCACCTCCCCACCCCTTATAGAAATTCCCATATTCTATTAAGGCCGAAGAATGAACATTTGGAATTGCTCAAGCTTTTCTGGAACAAAACTGGATATTTCCCCCTTTTTTCCTAGCCTTTTTCTAAATGTGCTTTAAACTCTTGGCATTTGAAATATTATTGGTAGTAAGCCACTCTACTAGCAAGAAGAAAGATAATAACGGGGACTGGCCTGAACTGTCTTTCAATCTGAGAAAGTGGGGAATTTAATTAAATATGTTTTAGCAGAAAATAACAATTTTTTCTATCTGTCTCCAGAGGGTTATGAAGACCACATCAGATGTTATAATCCCACTCTATCCTACTCACAGGTAATTACCCTGAAGGAAAATGATCCTCTCCAACATCCTCCATCAGCTTTGTAGCTGGATTTGAACTTGAACTTACCTTCTAAAATCAACAGTATATTTTAGATCAACCTTCCACAACTTTGGCAGCCGTCAAATAGTAAGTAGACCACAAATCCCAGAATTCTGAGTAATGGCCACATTGGTATTGAATGCGGATAGTTTACATTCGTACATCCAGCAGGCATCCAGATTGGGAAAGATTGCTTCCCATGCATTTATTGATATGTTTACATGATGCCATGCCTGCACAACTATAAGTGATCAGATTCGTGCTGTGAAGAAAATCAAATTTTAAATTCCTTTCATGGCATACCTGGAAGGAAAGTCCTGGGAGACCTGGAGGGGAAAAAAAGAGTACGATATATATTATTCTTTCTCTTACGTGGATTTAGATTCAGTTACAGGCCTTATAGGGGTATGGCATGAAAATCAAAAAGTTGATTCAAAGGCCTTGCAGAAAGTTTGATTTTTGGAACAGGGATTTTGAAAGAATCAGGAATCAAAATGTTTTTACAGTCATTCCAATCCATAGGAAGTCCGGTGGCAGATGCTGGTGGCTACCCAATTTTATTTTGTTACACACAACGACCTCTTGTGCATCAGTTGCAAACATTTTTGGAACTAAGGGCTTTGCTCACAAGTCAAATGCATTTCACATTGCATGGAGCTGACCACAAGGACAATTTAGAAGCTGGTTTAACATGTGTTGGCCCTGATATTTATGGCGCACAGAGGGTCACTCATGCAACAACTCTACGACAAGCATTGCATTAGTTGCCACTTCACTGTGGCTCAGGTGCAATTTCATACTTAAATACCTATTTAACCCAGGGATTGGATATCTCTCCAATTGCTTTTTCTGGGTTAAACCTGCCACCCTCTGAGATCAGAGATAGTACTGAGGGGCCAACCATGGAGGAAATGCCATCTGCAAGGAACCCAGAGCTGAAGGACTCAAGTAGGACACTTCCCTTTGGAAAAACCTACCCCTGCGTATTCAGATCACCCCATCCTGATTGTGCTTCCAAACAGCTCTGAAAACATGACTGTTCAGGACAGCGTTTGTAGACAGCAAGGTGACAGCATCTAGCTGACCTTGTAAAGTTAAGCAGGATCAGGCCTAGTTAGTGCAAAAATCCCAGGTCTATCAGCTCGACCAGTCAATCCAAAAAAATCTGCATTAAGGAAGCACGCAATAGCACACCCTTTCCAGGAAAAGTGCATGATGTATATGTGAAGTTCACACAAGATTGAACATTCATTCGTTCGTTCGTTCGTTCATTCATTCATTCATTCACTCCCTCCCTCCAAGGATTTGTATGGCTGTCCATTTATTTATTTATTTATTTTATTTCTATACCGCCTTTCTCCCGTAGGACTCAAGGCGGTGTACAGTCAAGAAAAATATAGACACACAAACATCATAAAATTGCTAATTAGAATTATTACTTAGTTTGATCAATTAAATAAAACATTTAAAAAATCATTTAAAAACAAGCAGTCCCAATGTGGCAAAAAAAGTGAAGTTTCACTATACCTTTGTTAAATCAAGCTATTTTAAATGGTACATTAAAACCTTAAATAGATGGAATTGCTTAAGGAAAGCTTCTTGATGCTCTAAAGCAGGGGTGGGCAACTGTGGCTCTTTTACAACCTGTGGACTTCAACTCCCAGAATTCCTGAGCCAACTTGGCTGTCTCAGGAATTCTGGGAGTTGAAGTCCACAGGTTGTAAAAGGGCCACAGTTGCCCACCCCTGCTCTAAAGTGACACTGCCTTGCCACAATATCCAGGCAACAATGTTGTCTTCGGTTTGCAACTCTCATTTACTTTATTCTGTGTGTGAACCCGCGAGGAAAACAGCAGAGAGGGATGCGAGCTCAAGAGGCCGCCAGCAGAGGGCGGGCTACCCTCCTGCTCCCCCCTTCTCCCCCCCCCCCCCGCCCCTTGACTTAGCATTAGCCAGCAATTTCACGCTTGGAGAAAGGAGGCGTTTGCAGAGCCCTTCTTGAGCTAGAAGCCAACTAGAATTACATCACGGGCTCAAGCGTGGAGCCGCGCAAATAAATGCAGCGGCAACCAGGTACCAGGGCAATCCTAGGGGGGGAAAGGCACGAGGTGAGCGAGTTTGAGCGGCCAAAGTAAAAAAAAAAAAAAGAGGGCGTGAGCGGCTAGAAAGAAGCCAGTCCCGGACGATGCACACGGAGCGACGCGGTGCCTTGCAAGGTTGCACAGGCTTGCTCGTCCGCTGGAGCCGACCTCGCGGAGTATAAAAGCTGGCTGTAAGGCCGCCTTCTAATTCATAACCCAGCGCAGCTTAGGAGCGTGCCCGATGGAGCAGTGGCCAAGCCACCTCGGATAGTTCTCCTTTTGCTACGGAGAAGCAACTGAAGAGGCTTCTGCAAAAGAGCATCACTTCCCCAGCCGCGCTTGGAGCTCGCCACGGAGAAAGAGGCTGCCCACCCACCCACCCCACCTTACTTCCCTTCGGCTGGGGTGGCTGGAGCAACCGACTGAGCGATTTGCCTCCGGGACTTCGGGAGTACCAGATCGCCTTTGCCTTTTTTTTCCCCCCCCCCCTCCCGTCCCCACGCCCACGAGTTTCCTCTTTTAAGGAGAAGTGCCTGAAAAGAGCGAGTCGGTGGTTTCCATAGTGATGGAACAGAAAGTGCAGGAAATTTAAAGACGCTGGATCTCCGCGCAGCAGACTAACTGGTGCCAACGTGCGTGGCGGCGGCGGCGGCTGTTGCAAACTGCAAAAGAGACGGGAGCCGAATGGAAGTTTGCAGAGGTCTCTTCTGCTGAGCGCAAGCCCCCGAAATCCGGAGCCAGAACAATTGCATGGGGCACCCCAGGCTTCTGATTTTCTGCACGGGGCTGTGGACTTTCTCGATCAGTATTACTTACTTCTAAACGGTGCTGGTTTTTTTGTTTTTTTTTGCTGCTGTTGCCTACTCACCGGACCCGAGGAAAGGCGTTTGGGCAAGGAGGCTGCAGCCTCTGAAGGCAAGTGGCAGGGGAAGACCCTCCTCTCCTGCCCCTCCTTGCTTGGATAACCTCACCTTCCCTTCTCCGGCCGATGCCTCTGCTCAGGCCCGCTTCTGGGTGAACCCTGTCCCCTTTCCTTTTCCCCTCCATCCATCCCTCTCCCTCTCTCTCTCCGAGCATGGATCACCTTCAGTGGCTGGTGAGGCTTTACGCGTTGGCGGTTCTCCTAGGTTTCCGATTGGAACAGGGCGCTTGCCAGCACTACCTCCACATCCGACCGGCCCCCAGCGACAACTTGCCCCTGGTGGATCTAATCGAGCACCCGGACCCTATCTTCGATCCCAAGGAGAAGGACCTGAACGACACGTTGCTGAGGACCCTGCTGGGTACCCACTTCGACCCGAGCTTCATGGCAGTCTCCTTGTCCGAGGATCGTCTCGGCGGGGACGACCTAGCCCAGCTGGACCTGCTGCTGAGGCAGAGACCCTCCGGAGCGATGCCCAGCGAGATCAAAGGTCTGGAGTTTTACGACGGGGGTCTCCAGGCTAGCAAGAAGCACCGGCTGAGCAAGAAACTCCGTCGGAAGCTGCAGCTCTGGCTGTGGTCTCACACTTTCTGCCCGGTCCTCTACACGTGGAACGATCTCGGCAGCCGCTTCTGGCCTCGCTACGTGAAGGTGGGCAGCTGTTTCAGCAAGCGCTCTTGCTCCGTCCCGGAAGGCATGATTTGCAAGCCGGCCAAATCCGTGCATCTGACCATTTTGCGGTGGAGGTGCCAGCGCCGCGGGGGGCAGCGTTGCACGTGGATCCCCATCCAGTACCCGATCATTTCCGAGTGCAAATGCTCCTGCTAAGGCGGGCGGGCGGGGAGGGGGGGAGAGCAGCGCGTGCCCTCCGCTCCGGTCACCGCCAACGTCCCGTAGAAAACAAGCAAGCCCAGTATAACACCGCGCCTCTTTTTCTCACCGAACCATCCCGGCCGCGAAGCCGGGTTTTGGTCGACTTCAAGACGCTACGAAGCGTAAAAGGAGGATGGACGTTTGGCCTCCCCGGTTGAAAACGTTGCGCACCGGTCCGGGTTGCGTGCAAGACAGGCAACTTTTTGTTTTTGTGTTAAAGACGGGCGTGCGTGCGTCACCAAAGACCTGGGAGAGAAGAGTCCTTGCGCGCACCGGACCCCCCTGCCCTGCAGACCACCCAAACGCCTCCGAAAAGCAGGTCAGTGTTACACCGCGAACTCTTCTCGTCTGCTGTACTTTTAAAGAGAGTAGATTCGCTCGGATCATCGCAAATTGAAGTTTTCTCCACCCACCTCCCCGTCTTTAATTTATATTCCAGGAAAAAAAAAAAAAGCGTTTGGAGGATTTATAAACAAACGCTCCTCAAACCTTTGGGGCTTTTTTTTTTTTTTTGCAAATACTTTTTTTTAAATAAAAAAGAACAGAGGACTTTTAACATAAAACGGTTTTTTTTATTATAAATGGAAATATTTTCCATTCTTTAGGGAACAACGTTTTCGAGTGATTTGCGTTGTGCATTTCTTTTTTTTTTAACGGACTTCCGAGATTATGACTTTTAAAACGAGACGATGACTAAAGGTTAAGACACGTTGTTACTGTTGTGTACATAGCGGGTTTGGTGGTGTTGTTTCTTTTCCTTTGGACCGTCTTTTCATCTTCTGTGCGTGGAAGAGAGTTTGCTATTTATTCTTTATATTCATTCCCTTGTAGTCGAAAGTTCAGCTCAAAATTAAAATCAACCACTAAAAGATCAAACCCTCCTTGGATTCTGTGGGGCGCGGTTTGGGGGAAAAGGGGGGGGGAGGCGCTGGCCGGAGCCGCGGAGGCTGCGTGCGGGGAATCGGGGCGACTTGAAAGGGGAAGGAAGGCGCACCCCCTTTTTTCCCCCAGCAGATCCACCTTCCTTGGAAGCAAGTCCCGCCGGGTTGGATCGGCGTGTCTCCCCCCCAGCCAGCCCGCTCCGCTCTGCTCCACTCGGGAGCGGGAGAAAAACTCTAGAAAGCGCGCCGGTTGCTTGTTTGCTCGCTTCTCCGTCGCCCCCATGGGAAGGCTCGGGGCAGACGCCTTCGGAGAGACGGCGGCGGGAGGCGGGCCCCAGGCTGGGAGGAGGGGGGGGGCGGGTGGTTGCCGCTTTGACATCTCATTTACCAGGAGCCACGTGTCTCTGACACCTACCCTTGTGGCCGAGCCCTGCTGAAACTCGAGCCCCGGCGGCGCGTTCTTTGGCGCTCGCTGCAGACAGTCGCCTATCCCGGGCACGGCCGAGCCAGCGCCCCTCTCCGCCTTCCCGCCCCTTTTCTCTTAACCCTTCGCCTTCGGGAAAGGGAGCGATCGGCCGGCGTGAAACCGGAGCGCGCCTTCCCTACTTTTCCCTTGCTTTCTCCTCTGTTCCCCCTAAGCCCAAACTGCCCCCCCTTTTGGGGGGCGAGTAAAGACGAGCCTTTTCTCCCTCCCTCCCTCCCTCTCTCTCCCAGGAATACAAACGGGCTGTTGACCGCAACATGCCAAATGATTGAGAGTAGCCTCTCCTTCAGCCTAACTGGGTTAATCTGCTCACCGCAGTTCTAACTTTTGCCCTACTCAGAAAAAAAAACATTGGAAGATGTTAGCAGGTTTGGCTTCGGGTTAGTGAAGGAGGGAAGAAGCACCTGTTTTCACAGCACCTTCCACTAGACTAGAGCCTGAAAAGCAAGAGAGGCTCTGACCAACCTTTCCCTTGCTTTTTCTTTGAAGACGTTTCACTTCTCATCCAAGAAGCTTCTTCAACTCTTGACAGGATAGTGGGGAATGGAATCCTGTCAGAGTTGAAGAAGCTTTTTGGATGAGCAGTGAAACGTCTTCAAAAGAAAAAAGAAAGTCTAGTCTCCTGAAAAAGCACCTTTGGGGCAACCATGACCCTGATGACTGAGAATCTCTACAGACTTTTTTTTTTTTAATTTGACTTATATGCAGCCCTTCTCCGGAGACTCAGGGCGGCTTACAATGCGTTAAACAATAGCCTTCATACTTTTGTATATTTATACAAAGTCAGCTTATTGCCCCCACACACTGGGTCCTCATTTCACCTACCTTAGAAAGGATGGAAGGCTGAGTCAACCTTGAGCCTGGCAAGATTCGAACCTGCAGTAATTGCAGGCAGCTGGTCTTAATAACAGGGTGCTTTAGACCACTGTACTACCAAGGCTTTCCTCCCTCACCTTTAGTGATCGCAGAGCCTGGTGCTGCCGGTACTTCTTTTCCAAACCAAAATAATTGGCACCTAACAGTGTGAATGCTCCAGGTAACATCATGCAGGATGCTTAAGACAGCTCCTTTTACACATTTCACCAATTGCTGTGGCGCCTACCCCTGAGGTGCTTAGGTTCAGCCAAGTACAGAAGTTGCTTCTGTTTTAGAATTGCTTCTGAAACAGATGTGGGACAGTCAGAAATCCAGCTGTTTACATGAAGCACACGGATGTCCGACCTTTTGGTTTCCTGGGCTTCCACTAACTGAAGAAGAGTTGTCTTGGGCTGCATATAAAAATATAGCTAATGTATATAAAACACATAATGTTAAAGGTTGCACGCTGCAGCCGCATTACTAGCTGCCTGGGACTGCATGCAGACCCTCCTGCTCTGCTCTATTGTCTCCAGGAGCTGGGCCTAGTGGTTTTGGGGCTAATAGACCAAAAGTCATAAATCATATAACATTCTACCTAAGCATAGGGAAAGTGGAGGCTCTGTCTACAAAAGAGGAAAGGACTAACACAGGATCTTTGGGGCCTGTAATTTGTTCCTACAGATGCTTTGCTTATGGAGCAGCTCTGCTTTTCCTTCCTTTATCTTCAGTACCCATAACCTTCTACAGCAGTGACTCTCAACTTTGGCAATTTTAAGATGGGTAGACTTCCGCTCTCAGAATTCCCCTGGCAGGATGCTGTGTGGGGAATTCTGGGAGTTGAAGTCCACCCCTTTTTAAAACTACCAAAGTTGGGAAGCGCTGGTCTATAATATTCCTTTCTACAGTTAAGAGATTGTGGTTTATCTAGATAGCTTTTCTTTCGACAAAATGGTTAGGGGCATGTCTCTTGCACCCTTACTTATATTAAGGACTGCTCCAAGGAGGAAGAAAAATCCAGTTCCATGTTAAGGTGATTCATTTGTGAGATGTTTAAACACATTTTGGGGAGTTTTCCAAAATTACTCACTCTTTGGTGATGCGTATCTCCTTGTTTTCCTAAGTCAAGTTGACTTTGCTTAGCATGGGAATGATTCCCAACAGCAACAGCAACAGCAGCAACCCAGGAATCCTTCGCACACTGATTAAAAGCCCTCCAAGAACTTACTCTGAAGTAAGAGAAGTAAAAATGGCCCTGTGGATCAGCTTAAAATACTGTAATATGTAGGATCACCTGAGCCATACAGGGTGATCTTAGGTAAAATTCATCTCATCAGATCTCAAAACATTAACATTAGCAACATGCTTTAATGAGACAACTTCCTGTAACCGATTAACCTAAGTGGATGACTACAAAGCCTCATGCGTCTAATTCATCAAAACACATCAACAGTTTGCTTCCTTAGAACAAGTTGTCTGAAAGCCACACCCCCAAACAGGCCTTCCAATCCTGAGCCTGCCAATTCCAGATGTGCTGCTGGGCGCTGATGATATCAGATGGTGAGTGGCTGGAGGATAAAGGGGAAGTTTGGTCCTACATTTAAACATTCTCTGTCTCTTTTTTTCTTACACACATACACACACCCATGTTACAACCTTGAGTCACTGACTGGTCTATTTTAATTATAGACTCTTGAACTAAAAGGAAGTTGGAGGGCAGAAATGACATTTTTTAAAAAAATCAATCCACTTCTCAATCTCTTGCAGGTCCAATAATGGGAGCTCCCATTGATGAGTGGCTTAAACATCAAGTGTCGTTGTGCCAAGTAAATCAGCTATCTTAGATTAGTTAAGAAAGAACTGCGTATTTTAACCAAAGGTGTGTTCATAGAATACATCTGACCAATCAAAGACCTAATCGTGACACAATGTTCTAAGCTTCATTTGTTTTTAATTATTTTGTGGAGAAGCCGGGATGGCTTTTGTGTTAGGTTAATGCAATTTCATTACTTTATGATCCACTGTGTTGTATAAACCCAGATACTGGGCTAATTCAGTAGCCAGCTTGACACAGCCAATGTTTTCAAAGGGAGGAGCAGCTCATGTCTGAATTCAGCAGTAACTTCTCAGTTGTTGTCTAAGCAAGATGACAAGATGTGTTTCTGTCTCTATTGGGCTTCACTATGTGATATAGATGAAAATATGAGGCCTACAATGCATGGATAGGCAAGCTGTTATTCTGCGCACATATACACACACAATTATGTTTTCTTACGTAATTCCCATAATTCCTGATCTCAAATTATACTTACTAGCCAGGAAAGGGCAAATAATTTGGGCAAAGTTGTATTGTGGGCTATATTCTCTCCAGTTGTTCAACATGCTCACTTGCACCTTTCAAGCTACTCTGAAAACTGAATTTCTGAATTTTACTTTTAAATAGGCATCAGGATGATTAAGTTATAATTGATTGATTTTAGATTGTAGAAGTATATTTTGAAACTATGAGCTTGGCAACACACTGTTGTTTCTTTATCCCTCTTGTGTATCTTACCTGATATTGACATAATACACTAAGCACACATATTCATTAAAAACGATCTGCAAATCAGTATTATAATAATCAGTGACTAGGACTTTGACATGGCAGAACAATTCTATGCTATTTACTGCATAAATACCTACAAATCACAACATATCTCACACACACAGTCTTGCTGATGTACACAATCTAATATACTCTATTTTGTGATAATCAAGGCTTTGGAATAAAATCAGAAAAAGTGGCACGTTAAAAAAAGTGACCTTATATTTTGGAGAATTGTTACAGATAGAGACCAAATTGGTACGCGAGCATTTTTCTGTATTAAACAAATTTTAAAAGAGTTTGTGAAAATTTATTGCTAATAACATTAAGCATAGGCTTCCCTCCTGGAGTCTAAGCCTCTTCCTTTAAAATTTTCTGATGTTGACGCATCCTTTCCCTCCTTTCCTTTCCCTTTTTTTACTGCACTTTTCCTTCCAAAAGGGGGGGGGAGAGGAGGGGAGGGGGTCTACGTACCTTGACTGTTGCGGGTATTCATTAACTTCATGAACAGGAACAAGGGGCACTATTACTCATATAAAGCACCCTGCCCCCCGAGACTATCTAAAGGTTCATTGTAAAAGGATTAACAGTTAAAGACCTTCATCTTATGATTCTTTCATTTAATCTGAGTGGCGCCTGAAAGACATGCTGGATGGATGATCATGTTCAGAATATTTTTCATGTCAGATACCTCAGGATTTCAGGCAGGGGTAAAGGAGTGTGATTTGCATCTTAGAAAGCCTTTAGGGGGTAGTGGGGGCCATAATCATTGATTTTCCAAGAAGGAAAGAGAAAGTTCCATATAAAGAGAAAAGACACAGAGTGGAAATGAATACACTAAATACAAATAAATAAATATTTTCATAATATTCTTTCCAATCAAAATAGTCTCCCTATCCCCAAGAGTCTACAAACCCTACTTTCCAAAGACTAGTAACTTCATGTTAAATATTTTGGTTTTCGAGGAAATGTTCAATATAGTCTGATGTGTGTTATCAAAACATCCATCTTTGTCCACTGCTGCTTTGTAAAATAATAAAAGGGTATGTGAAGACTGAAGGAG